TTGACCGTCAGAGTCGTGACAAATAGCACTTGTCTGTGGAAGATTATATGCCGACTGTTTCGGATAAAGCCCCTGACAGATAGAGTTCGGAGAGCCGGCAGTGGCAGGACTTGAACTACAAGTAGGTGTGTTGTTTCATTTCCGGAAGCCAGAGACCACCTTGTATCATCAGAAACAAGCCGTCCCATTTGTGCGGGGAAACAACCATCTGGTCATGTTCAACAACATGTAGGGCATTGCTAGGATACAATACCAGGAGGTTCAGAAGAAAAGGCCATGTGCAAGAACATGACTGGTAGAGCAAGCCGACATGCCAATAGAGTTTCGATCATCGCGAAGCCGAAACATCTAACCCTGCATGCCTAAACCCTAAACCCCATGTTCCTGGATTGGAGGAGATTCAGTGGTACGAGATCTGCAGCTGGTATCCAGACGAAGGCCACATGGCAACGGAAGCATTGTGGTGATTCAGGGTTTAGGGTTTGGAGTTTAGGGTTGAGTAGTTTGAGGGTTTGGCTGCTGAAGGTTTATGTTCTGTTCGGAGAAGCTTGGACTGATATGGGTAGCTCTGAGAAATCAGGGTCCCTCCTGAGCTCCCTTTTTTTTAAGATGATGCCGTAATATAATGATGCCGTAATATAAATTTAGAGAACTACCCATATACTAATGATACTACTGGAGGTTCAAGCTTTGCTGAAGCAATGTCGCTCTCCTACAACCCTTCTTGTCTTGCAGTGTAGTATCCAGGCCCGAAGCCCTAAACCAATAAACCCTAAACCTTGGGTACTGCCCCCCACTCAGTAACAGTTGGATAATATTCATAATAAACATATATTCGGACCTCAATAGTAGCCCTATTATAGACTGTTACTGTATGGGGTGCAGTACTCAACCCAAGCCCCAAAGCCCAAACCGTAGCTGTTCTGCTATCAAACTCTGTAGGGTTTAGGGCCTAGGGTTTAAGGCTTATAGGGTTTAGGGTTTAGGGTTGAAGATGTAGGGCTTTGGGTCTAGGGTTTAGGGCTGGCGTTTTGCAACCCCTGTTCAGCAAGTCTGAACCTTTCCAAACCCCATAAGCCCTCAACACCGAAAAACGCTCAGAACTACATGCCTGAATCCTAAAATCCTAGATCCTTTCGCCTGTGCCCGAAACGCTAAGCACCTTCAGACAGCCCCTCGGGCCGTCACCCACGAGCCCATGTTACTATAGGGGCTTTCTTAATTACCTATCGTATTTTTGGGGTTCCTTGTTATAGTTGTAGTAAAATGGGCCCCAAATCCCTGTTCTCATTGTTAGGGCTCATACATGAGGTCAAACGCACGATGAGACGAAAGGGCATGTGCCCTTCGGCAGAGAAAGCCCTGCGGCTCTGTGTCCCTGGATTCAGAGTTTTGGTCGGGATTGCTATACTGAAAAGGGGCGGCTCAATTCGAGGACCATCCAGATGCAACCGCAAAGAGCCCTGGGAAACCCTTTCCAAACTTGATAAAGCCTAGGACCTAGAGTAGGCCCTTATTCCCTTATTTTAGGGTTCTGGTTCCCTTATAACCCCCTTTAAACCAAAAAGGGCACCCTTTTTATTCCTTGGTTACTCTTAGGTCTAGAAGCCCCAAAACTTCACTGCCAAAAGAACCCCGAAATCCGCTACAGGAGCCATGGAGTCCCAGTGTCCCGGCCATGACAAACCCCTAACCTCAGGTGCCTTTTTTCGTAGCGTAGGGTTGGCTTAGGGTCGTGTTAGGTTTTTGTCGTAAGGGTTGCTGCGCAAGAGCTGTATGAGAGATTTAGGCTTTTGGGATTTAGGGTTGATTAGCTTCATCCCTAAGTCGTCACACGTGCAGTTCTTGATTTTCCAGAAACCAGTGGTCGCAACCCACACAAATTCTACGACGGAGCCTGCGAAGGAAGCAAGCACATCATGCTACCCGAAGCGCCAAGGCCCAAACCTTAAACTCCAAGGCCTAAGCCTGTATGCCACCCTATGCCTAAACCCTAAACCCCAAACCCGGAAGCCCCAATAAATCATGTCAAGCTCCAGAGTGTCCCTGAGAGCCTTTATCGGATCCTTGTAGATAACGCAGGAGCCGTGGAATAACTACCAGTAGCATTCTTTAGGGCTCTTACCATAATTCTATTGTAAAGGAGCCCAACACCCTATTGTAATTGTTAGGGCCTGTACCTGATGCATCCTAAACCCGGAAACCCTCCAGAGGAAGTATTGGCACCAGCCCGCGCCGCCTCCTCAAGCATGGGAGGCGGCGAGGGTCCCCGGAATGGGGTTCAGGGTACGTAGGGTTTGGCGCTGGTGGTGGTGGGGTGGGGTGGTTGGGTGCGTTTCATGGCGCATCCCGAGCCCAAAACCCTGACTTACAACTCTATATCCTGGAACCCTCGAACCCTAGTACCCCGAAGCCCGGTTAATGGTCTTTAGGAGTTACAGCTGTCGATCTTAGAATTTGAGCATTTTAAGTTTTAGGGTTTCAGGTTTAGAGCGGTTCGAAGCGTTGCATGACAATGTGGGGCTTCGGCCTCAGGGTTTGGTTTTGCAAATCAGGACATTGAAACACTGTGCGCAAAAAAACACGAAACCCCACCCTAATTAATCAGGCCCCTCAGCTACATTAATATTTTGGACGTTCGTCCTGAGTGCTGAAACCCTTCACCGACCCCTAAACCAGGAAAGCCCTCGAAGCTCGAACCCTAAGCCCCGAATATTATGGTTAAATAGCGGGATCCTTTTTTGAAGGATCCCCCAAAACGAGGACACCCAGTTTGCGGACGCAGCAACATGGGAGCTTCCGAAAATTCGGGGTACCTTATTGGAGGTCCTGTCATAATAAGGATCCTACTATTTAGGGTACTATATTAGGGTCCCCTATTTTCGGAAACCCCCACATGTTTGACACCAAAGCAAGCCCTAAAACCCGAAACGTGTTCACATCTTCGAAGCCGTCAGTTTCAAGCCAGGCAGCTGCCAGAGAGCCCAATATCCCTTAATTAAGGAATATGGCTTAAATTATCTAGGGGCTCATATTATGATGTAAGTTATATTCCTTATTTAAGGGGTATTGGGCTCTCTGGGCTGCCAGGTCATGTCTCTTCCTCCGCCGGCCCAGGATCCTGACCCCGTCGCGCTAAACTCGAAAAGCCCAAAGTTCCAAGCTGTCAGAGCCCTTAGGGTGTATAGGCTTTAGGGTTCAGGGTTGAGGGTTTAGTCCAAAGTCGGAGCCCTTAGGGTCTAGGGTTTGCGCAGGGTTTAGGGTTCAGGGTTTAGGGTTTAGTCCAAAGCCCTGAGCCTTAAAACCCCCACATAAAACCCCTAAGCCCTCTTTGCTCCGCAGGAGGCGCGATTGCAACGGTGGCTCCTCATCTCCAACGGTAGGATGCAGCCGCAATCTGTGGCGGCGGGTTTGGGTTTTAGGGTTTAGGGTTTAGGGCTGAAGAGTTTGGGGACCACTTGGCGTCTTCAGGGTTTAGAGGCTTGGGGGGCTTAGGGTTTTGGGTCTGTTTAAGGATTTGGGTTTTAGTTTCAGGCTGTTTTAGGGTTTTAGGGTTTCCTGTAGCCCGTAGTAGACCACCAGGGGAGACCCGTATGTAATATAGAAGCAGGAGTAGTTTAGGATTTAGGGGTTTAGGGTGTAGGGTACCAATGCTAAACACCAGGGCTCCTATTATAGCTCGAGACCCTACAACTGTCTTCGCGTGGCATCAATAATCCAACCATTATCGTCTGGATTGGCTTAGTGATCAACACCGAACCTCTTTAACCCTCGTTGCATACTGCATGCTACTGTTTTTTTTCTCGTGTTTCCAGATCACTTCTTTCGAGCTATTTTTTGCCCTAAACCCTAGACCCGAAACCCTAAACCCCAAACCCTAAAAACCCTCAACCCTAAACCCCAAACTCTAAAGCCTAAACCCTAAAAACCCTAAACCCCAAACCCTAAAAACCCTAAACCCCAAACCCTAAAAACCCTAAACCCCAAACCCTAAAAACCCTCAACCCTAAACCGCTTCGGGAAGCCAAGGCGTGGCATGTTCCGGCCGCCCGAGCCCGGTCAGCAGGAGCTCAACCCGAAGGGTCCTATGTACCTATATAGTAGAATATGTAGGGCTTCTATATTAGGGTTTAGGGTTTAGGGTTTAGGGTCCTATGTACCTATATAGTTTGGGTACTGCCCCCACTCAGTAACAGTTGGATAATATTCATAATATAGATATATTAGGACCTTAAAAGTAGCCCTAATATAGACTGCTACTGTATTGGGGGCAGTACCCGATATATAGTAGAATATGTATGGTTTCTATATTAGGAATACTTATTATGATCCAGGCAAGTATCCCCCATAACAGTACATAGGACCCTTTGGGTAAGCCTACTCTGGGGTTCGCGTTCAGGTTGGTATACAGTTTAGGGCCTTAAGAATTAGAATAGGGTTTTGGGGGTTCCTGATTATAGTTCTGGTGTAATATACTCCAACACCATGTTCTAATTCTTAAGGCCCCCATATTACGCTTTAGGGTTTGGGGCTTAGGGTTTGGGATTTGTTTTTGTTTTTTTAATCTCAGGTTGGTCTACGCCTCAGTGTTTGGGGTTCGAGGTTGTTGTTGTTGTAGCCGCTATGGATCACAGCAGGCTGTGTAGCTTTGCTAACAAGGCTCTGGGTATCAACGCTAGAGGCTCGCAACGGCCCCCTTCTGCGAAGCTTAAGGGACTGTCCTCTTTCTGAGCCATAGCTACTCCCGGAGCCGCGTGTCGCTGTGATCCACCGGGTCCCAATTCCCGGGCCTCTGTCTGCAGATCTACAACCTTGGCAAGAGGTAAGCGGTAGTGGTTTTCACCTTCTCCGCGGGGTGAAGGGAGTCGGATTGAGTTCTCTCTTTCTGGCGAAACTAGCGGAAGGCGCGTCGACTGTGCCTCAGTGCTTTTCTCCTGCCGATGCTTTTATATTTACAAAAGGACCTGCCGCACCAAGCCATTCAAGGGGCGGCCCCAGTCATGGGTTGGCCATCTTCTGCACCTGGGTATCCTGAAGGAAGCTTTCGCGATGAGGCCTCTTTCCGCTCCTCTCTTCGACTTTTCAGCTACACGACAAGACACCCAGGTACAGCTCAAGGTCTCTCCTGCGCAGTTTTGCTGGCGCTCTGGTTTTGCGCTTTAACTGGTACACCTCCGCAAGAAGGACACGGATTGTCTGGTATTCTCATGCAGTC